TCTTATCTCGGTGATGGCATCCCGCACTTGGATTTGCGATACATTGAGAAATGCGAATTCTTGTGTTGGTCTGGTGACATTATTGGCGAAACTCAGCGGGTCGATATTACAAGCTACATTGCTATTGGCAATATCAGTTGCGATATTTGCAAAGAAAGTAGCAAAATCATCGGCAGTTAGTACAGAAGAAATGAACCAAGATGAAGGATTATCCTATTTATAATAAATTCCTTGCAAAAAAATGCGTTTCTCAGGATGGGCCCACACTTGAAAAAATTGTATGCAATTTAAGTCCTTTTTTACTCTTTAAACCTGTTGAATAAATGATCGAATCTTATCTACTTTACAGTAAACTTACGCAACTTATGCATTAAAATCACGTAGGTTGTTACCATGGCCACGAACCTCATAAACGGGTCGGTTCGCTTTTAGCCAAACGACAAATTGTATTAAAGACAAAAGTTACTGCTTTTTTATTGGTTTATAAGGCATGTCGGGCTTTTGTTGGTTCCGTTTCCAATTTCCAATAAATAGCTGAACCCACTGGCAGCCGGGAAGGCGCTTATCGTTAGTGAAATTGGATACTTCATACGCGCGAAGGTAATAGTTGCACAGCTTCATGAAAAAAAGCTGACTATAACCACATTTTCAGCGTCAAGGCTCCTTATATAACAAATTAATCCCATATATACATAGCCCACCACAAAATTCATTTAATCGAGATAGTTTACTTACATACTTCGATGCATGTTAAAATAATTACCCTTAAACATATTTGTAATTAGCCACTACAGTCTCGTATAATGAATGACACCTTTGATTGGCAGATACGTCACTCGAAATGAGTTAAGCCGACGGCTAAATGTCAATAGCATACAAAAAAACTATTATCCGCGAACATTCAACTGTTTCAGACGTCCGAAAGATCACCACATGAAATTCTCATTCTGGTTAAATATTAAGATGACAATTTATTTTTGCGGTTCTAATAGTACGCAACAATATCCTCTACTGCACAATTCTACTTTATTTTTGCACGTTTAATTTGTCTGTTGTTCGTATTTATAGCAATATTTCTTTGCTAATGTTGCCCTCGATTTAAATTTGACAGCTCCACAACTTCGTTAGCGTATCAGCGCGAATGATTTCCGAAAAAACGGATATGACTCGGTAATTTACAAGTATTAAGACTTAACTTCGCTTACGACTGAACGCGAATTTTCCTTTCACAAAATAAAACACACCCTGTGCTAATTTACAGGTGGCTGGTTCAACTTAACTCACGGCTCAACGTGATTGTCCTAATGGTTATCTCAGAACAACTAACTTTCCACTACTTTACTTTTTTTCTTGATACACATTCCATGAGGCAAACCTTTTCTACCTATTAACTAACTTCATTCCTCCAATATGATTCATTGACGGCTGTAAATCTGCAAGTTGTTCCCGATTTTTATGATGACCAGAGGCCGAGAAGTTTCAATTCTTAGATGTGTATAGTTACATTTGTAAGTACCGTATTAATTTTTGATACTTTCGGTAAATTCGATATTGTTTCGCTTTCCCGTAGAAACCGCTACCGAATCCGATTATTTACTGTTCCCGTTTAGGGAAATTGCTGTGCGCTTTAATTTTGTTTTAGAATTCATCGGTAGCCGCCCACCGCTTGCACTTTAGAATTCCTGGAGCTACTGTTTACTCTGAGTTTACTTGAGGCTTCCGAGACCGATCCACCAAAACCACTCTTACCCCCGACCTTGAGCAAGGGCAAGGTTGCAGCATCCTTGGTGGCGCCCAAGTTGACCGTTCCGCCGTTGTAACCGCTGCCATAGAGTTTATTGAGTTGTAATTCTTTTTCTTTCTTAATAAAAGTTTATTTTTATTAATTTTCCGTTTAATTTTTAAGCTCACCCATTGGGTGTGATCTACCGAAGTTGGTCGCAAAGTCAGGACGTAACACAACAAAAATATATGAAATCCTGCCAAATAATGAGAACACTAACTACTACTACAATTTTAAACATCACCCTTATAATTTCATCACGAAGCAATACATCAACAAAATGAGAACACTCTTTATATCTTTCATGAACCAAATTAAAAAGAAACGTACAACCACAAAAAAATTCAACTTCAGGCCGTGAACTGGAAGACCCAACCTGCTTGCCCAAACTACCAGACTAATAAACGTTACGTTACTATATCGAACCGTGTCTGAAGGAAGAAAAATAAAACCTCGGCCACTGAAAAGTATAGCTATAAATAGATAAAATAGATTATCAGTAAACTTGAAAGATTATTCAAGAACTCCATATGTGTTGCAAACACTGGAACTATTGTGCCCGTTAAAGTATCTAAAATTGAAACAAAAACAGAAAGAACAACAAAACGTGCTATTCAACAAAGACGTCATCATCCGATGATATTGATTTTCGCCATCTTGGTCAATGCCTTCTCAGCAGGTTCGTACTGTGGCTCTACGAATGGGTTTAAATTTGGCTTAAAAGTTAAATTTACACTCACCCCAAAAACGCACCTCATTAAGTTATGAACAGGATCAGTGGCGTAGCGTTTCAAAATAATAGGAGGGGCGGACCGAAGTCACTTGGGCCCCCCCCCCCATCTCAATTTTTCTTTCGCGGTGTCGATTGGTCATGGTATCACAGAAAAGAACAAAAATAAACGACAAACAAAATGTAATTATGTATTTTTTTAAACCAAATTCTCAAATCTTAAATTGTTTTCGTCTTTTAAGTGATGCTAATTGCAGACTCACTGACACAGAGAGAATGTGAATTGAATCGGTTGCTGTGAGGAGCGGGGAGCAGGTTCTTCGCAGTTCTTGACAATTTCTACGACTACAGGCAAGGCAATAACAGTAGCGCTAGCGCTGTTGTTGTAGTGTGTAGGGGTATTGACCGTATCAGACGTTCACCGTTCACAAAAACTTGCCAAAACGATACTTACCTAGGTATAGGCTTGAATCATGAAATTCAATTCATTTTTTTTTATTTTTTATTACCTATTATACATTTACTACTTACATAGTAGGGGCGGATTGGGCCCCCTCAGCTTTCGAGCCCGGGGCGGACCGCCCCCCTCGCCCCCCCCCTCGCTACGCCACTGAACAGGATGGTAATTGTATATAACAGTTCACTAAAAAAAGAATAACCTCATAGTAAGAGCAAAATATACGAGCGGATAAATATCATAACGAATACCAACGTTGCCACATTTACTAACTGTTTTGTTGCCGTCAAATTTTAGGTTAGAACAGAGGAAGTAAACAAGGTGGGATTAACTGGATTAACCGAAAGAATATTTTGTGGTTATTTACTTTTTAAGTTTAAATAATGAATTATTAACTTGAATGATTTTATTATACACTGATACTGATAATGCGTGTGGACCTTTTCAATTATTTTAAGAGGAATAATGCAAGCTTAAAATGCTGTGCGCTTTTTTAATAGTTCTTACATGTGGCTCTTAATAAAGATATTGAGGAATTTCCATAGTGACCACTTTTCTAATTCGGTCAATACTACTGACTAATAGGTAGGTACCAAGGACGTTGTAGGTACTTACCTTATTTACTTTGTGCTGTCCTGCTGTCAAACTAGTAGTTAGATGTTATTGCTCAAGAAATTGAAGGCATTGAATAGTTTGCAACTACTTACATTAAAATAAACTGGAATAACTAACATATCTGTGTTAAAAAAATTAAAAATTTGCCACTTAAAAAATCATACATTTACAACATTCAAAAATTTTTAATAGACGGTCAACAAAGCAAATGCAATACATGATCTACACATAAATAAAAAGTCAAGTATTATGATTCGAGTATTAATAGTATAAAGTTCCACCTTAACCTAATTAATCAAAAAAGCAAGTTTCTTAATTGAAAGGTACTGTGTAATACGGTACACTTGAACTTCAAACACTTTCAAAATTTAAACCACACAAAACGAGACTTACGAGACTTAAACATCAAGCTGATAAAGACGAAGAAACATAACCACAAATCTATCTAACATATCATTAATCAGATGGTTAAATTTGGTAACGTTGGTATTTGTTATGATGTTTATCCGCTCCTCAAAATATACCATGTGTTTAGGATAGAGTTAATAACCTAAGGAGCAACTACAAGTCAACGAGTCTTAGTAAGAAAAATCAACATCATTAACGTAACCAACATGGAGGTAACATTTTCAACCCTACACATCGTAAGAAATCAATAAACAGTGGGGTACCCTCGTGGAGGTAACACAGAAGAAGTGACGGAAAGAGACCCAATGCAAAGACTTGACTTTAGTAGCTTGGACAAATGGACGAGATCTACTAAGGGCATATCTTTCATTCTCATCTAGGCCATTCTGCAAGAAGAAATATAGCTAGAGAATGTCAAAAAGTGGGTAAATACACCGATTTCATGGACGATTTTCACCGTGATCGCAACTTCTGTTCAGACAACAAAGTTCTGGTGTTGTTTTACACAGCGTTGGCGCACGACAATGTACATACATTTTAATATGGGAAGGGAACGTGTAACATGACCTTCTTGACTTTTTCTAGCCATTCCAAATACTCAAATGCTGGGCGATTTCACACTGATCATAATTGCTATTGAGACAAGTATGTTTTTTAGGCTTGAAGAACTATCGTTCATGAAATCAGCTATATCTAAACTAATTCAAGAGCGATGCTATTTTTATTCTAAAAATTGAACATCGCCATTTAATACAAAAATCCAGAATTGATCGGGTCCATGTCTGTTGGAAAGACGTTTGTATACTTCTATCATTCAAGTAGTTTTTTCTACAATCGATATCCAAAGTAGGCATTTGCGCTCGTATTTGACAACGCAAACGTCATCTTTTTCGAGGAATGTCACTTTGTCGCTTATAAGCGACAAAATAGAAAAAACGCTCGCTCTCCCAATTATTAACTATAAATCAAATATGCATTGCTCAGAGTATCCAATGACAACGAGTAAATGACATCTTTCATTTGGGCATAAGATTAAAATGATGTGAGTGAAAAATTTAAATTTGTGGAAATATGTGAACTGATCGATTGTAGAAAAAATCTTGTGTGTAATTCGAGCGCAAATTGATTGTCGATTTCAAGAGATTGCCGCGCTCCTTCGTCGCGCGTCAACTGTCTCTTTCAATCGACAATATATCATTTTGCGCTCTTAATACACAAATAGCTATTTACGACTTGATATTGATTTCTAGTTTTTCTGTCACAATGACTGAAGGATCGAAAAACTTATTGGATTACATAACACAAGGAACTGATAAATTTTTGCGTGTGTCAATTATCTGAATTATCTCGTTTTGATACGTCGCACGCCGGTATATAATCACCAGACACAGAAGTAGTCCTAAAAATGTTTTTCAAAGTTCTGGTATTGATTTTTTGCCCTGTGTTGGCGCAAGACAGGTATTAACCATTGCACGCTTTAATAAGAGAACTATTTTTGTGTGTTTTTTAGCCATGAGGGAAAAGCAAATACGTTTACGAGCTATTGGAATATGCCAACATTCCAATGTGCACGTTACAAACTAGGATTTGAAAAACTTGGAGAGAAATACAATATTCTCCAGAATAAAAACGATGTATTTCAGGGCGATCAAATGACCATTCTCTACCACCCAGGGTCGTTTCCCGAAATCAAATCGGATGGAAATTTAACAAATGGTGGCGTCCCTCAAGAAGCAAATTTGACGGAACATCTTCAACTTTTTGAAGAAACCTTTAATCGGTCAATTCCCGATGTTCACTTCGCAGGTACGACGTACATTGAAATCTTAAAACCCCGCAATGTTTGTTCAGGCATGGGTATCATAGACTTTGAGCACTGGAGACCGGTCTACAATCAAAATTTCGGTACACTCAACAAATATCGTGAGCTTTCCGAAGAAATTGAAAAGAAACTGCATCCTTCATGGTCTACAGCAGAAATTAAAGCTGAAGCCCGGAGAAGATTCGAACTTCATGGCCGGATGTTCATGGAGAAGTCTGTGCTACTAGCACGAACGTTAAGGCCAAAAGCTACGTGGGGTTACTACGGATTTCCACACTGTTTTAATCACAAGATGCTGGACACGTGCGGCGCAAACATCGAGGCCCAAAACGATAAGTAGGTTTCGTCATCGAGCAATTAGCGGCATACATAGTTTTATTTAAGCACAACCTGGTTATTCTCAGCCTGCGACACCATCAACCCAGCGCTATATGTATATGGAGAAGATAAAGCCACACAAGATCAGTGGAAAGATTGGATTAAAGGAAGAGTTAAGGAGGCGCAACGAGTTAGAGACGGAGTAAAAGACGAAAAACGGCGCACTGTCGTACCGTACTACACACTTCTAGATCCAACTACCGATGAGTTTTTATCAAAGGTAAACGATCAAATACACCCATTTTCTGGTAATAAAAAAGAGTTCTAGGAAACCATAGTAAATTCCATATCTACCCTTCGGGATCTGAAAATTGACGGGTTGATAATTTGGGTTTCCAGTTCGCATGTAAACTCAAAACAGAAATGTGAAGATCTGTATAAGTTCATTGATACCGTTTTTGGGCCAGCTTTAATTAATTAATTGATCTAACATTGTAATTAATAAATGTCCATGTGATAAAAGCTAATATGTATTTACAAAAATTCTTCAGTTAATTAATAACTTCACCCAACCAGTCTTGTGTGTCCGGTGCAATTAAGAAAGCTGTTTTTTTAAGCCTGAGCTTTTCTTCCAAAAAGCTAGGCGGCGTACTCAAATATTCCTTTTTTATAAATATTGATCTGCGATTTATCTGGTTTCGTCAGCAGCCAATACGTTCAAAGAAATATAATATATTAATAATTATTATTATTATTATCGCGCTAATGTGATTGGTACACTTACGCTTGTCAATAAAACATTAAAAAAGGGAATATTAAAGCCGGCCCAAAAACGGTATCGATGAACAATGATACATATAAACGATACAAATTTTGACATTTCTGCAGAAGGGAAGTACCTATTTAATATGGTTTCCTAACTCTTTTTTATTAGCAGACAATGGGGTTCAAACATTTGCCTCTGATAAAAACGCCTTGGTGTCTGGATCTTAAGTGTACAGTGCGCTACAATAGTGCACTTTTTTGGCATTTTAGTCCGTTGTACCTCCACAACTCTTCCCTTTCCGCTAATCTGGTGTGGCATTACTTACCCCATGTACACGGTGTCCATTTATAATGGTCACAGGCCATGTCTAGGGAACCATTAATTGCACAGCTTCGGGAAAAAAGTTTTGTCGACAAAAGGGGCCAAGAGAAATTGCTGGAAATTATTTTCAAATTTCTAGCTTCGCCGCTAGACGGCGTACCATTATAGTTCATGACTTTTTTCTTAAAGTATACCTACCAAACTTACATAAAAAATACATGCATATCAATCTTGTATCAATTTTGCATGATGCAGCACATATTGCTCTAGCTCATAAAATATGAGGGGTGGGGGAAGGGGAAAATCTCTTTAGGGAATTGAATGTAACTTCGGATTAGGCTAACAGATTTTCTCATAATAGAATAAGATTTTACATTAGTAGAATCTTTTTAGTAAATATGTTGAGTGGTAGAGGGCGCGATGTGACATTAACATAAACTTGGCAGATTTTTTTGAAAATTTCAAATGGAACGATATAATTATTATATTAAACTTTATCAGTGGTGGCGAGAATTAGAAATGTAATTCATAGCCATGACTGAAGTTGAAGCAACTGTTGTCTCTACTCAGCAGAGACTCGTCTTTGTATTGAAAATGATGGCATACATCGAACATTTACGTTAATTATAATTATTATTTCTTTTATTATACTTAATTCATATTTCTCTGATTTAAAGTTTGAATAATTTTTTTGTTGCTCATAATTTAAAAATTTAGATTGAGTGTTGTGTCGCCTCATTCACTTTGACATAATTATCGGTTGCTATGTGTTCATTTGTTTCAAATTCAACCTGGATGAATATAAATATTGCAATTAAAATGCGTGTGAATGTTTGTATTTTCGCAATATCTCTGCCTTCTTAGAAAACAGATATCAAAATGCGGTTTTCACTGCTATTCTCACTTTTTCATCTTATTTGATAATATCATATCGTTCCATTTGAAATTTTCAAAAAACCTGCAAAGTTTATGTTAATGTCACACCGCGCCCTCTACCACTCATCACATTTACTAAAAAGACTCTATTCATGTAAAATCTGATTCCACGAAGAGAGCTCTTTCCATCAAGACCTATTATGTGAAAATCTGTTAACCTAAACCGAAGTTACATTCAATTCCTTAGAAAGATGTTCCCCTTCCTCCACCCCTCATATTGTATGAGCTAGAGCAATACGTGCTGCATCAAAATGATGCAAAATTGATACAAGATTGCTATGCATGTATTATTTATGCAAGTTTGTTAGGTATATTTTAGGAAAAAAATAATTTTTCTACTTAACCATGAATCGTACGCCCTCTAGCGGCAAAGCTAGACACTTGAAAATAATTTCCACCGATTTCTCTTGGCCACTTTTGTTAACAAAATTTTTTTCCCGAAGCTGTGCAATTAACGGTTCCATAGATATGGCCTGTGACCATTATTAATGAGACACCCTGTACATATAACGGTGGGTTTAGTGTGTCGTTGGCTGAGAATAACCAGTTTGTACTTAAACATAACTTCTGTTAATCCACAAAGTGCTGGGTAACGAAGCTTGCTTGTAGTTTTGGGCCTCAAGTCGAGTGCTGCACGTCTCCTGTATGGGGTAACTGAAAGTGTGACGAAATTTGCCGCAATATTTGCGCTAAAAGTAGTATAGAATTTTCCATAACCAAACGGCCATGATATTCTGTATATGGTGAATTTGGCGAAATTTTGTAGACCGACCTCCAGTGATCAAAATCGATGACAGCTATACCTTAAGAAAACTATTTCCGAGCTTTAAGATTTTAATTTGAGTTCTACCTGCGAAGTGTACATCCGGGAGAAAACGGTTCATGGCCTCTTCAAAAAGTCGCCATCTATGTATTTCCTCTGTTAGTCCGTTTAGTTTAGATGTAGTTAGTTGATTGCTATACGTTTCATTTACCTTCATTCTAGCTTAGGTAGGGCCCTAAATAATTCTTGACATAGCCCAAATGCTTTGAGTGAGTGCTGGGAATATTCGAATGCTCTGAAAAAGTGCTTTCCAAAGGTTTCTAACGCCTTTCGCAGATTTTTAGCCCCTTTCCATAATTTTCAGTCATTTTCAGAAAGTTATAGGTTCGTCCTATTACTGAATACTGTGAAGTTTCAGAGTGTATAGTGTGAAAATGTCTCCACCTTGGTTACGCCAATGATGATAATTTTTCTCACTGACTCGTTGACTTCTAGTTGCTCCTTATATTAGTAACTCGTTGCATGAACGTATCTTTTTTTCTTACCTATGCAAATACACTTGTTATGTATTTTTGTAGTAAGGAAATATTGTGGTGGTGGTATATCCAAAACTTAATTTGGGTAGAAATATGATAAGAACATTTGGGAACGTTGAGCTCGGCCTCAGATAAAATGCCAATTTGAATATTGGCAGCCAGATCAAAATCGGTACGTTGCCTGAATTATAACTTTAAATCAAAACATACTGTCAAACGCAGGTAATACATAGTCTGCTTTATTTATGATGTAAGCGTTAGGTATAGGTTACACTTTAAATAAAGTAAACAATTCCATGTAATCTTCCTAACTGAAAAACCCCAATATAAATGTAAATTAATATTCAAATTGAACGAATATTCTAATGATAAATACATTGTAATTTACCCCGCAACGATTCTATATACACGGTAATTCAAAAAAAATACCAAAAAACCACAAAACAGGTGCATTTCATCATCCAATCTGATGAGCTCATTTTCATGTATACATTCCCAGGTTTTCTTGAAATCTTGGCTAAAGGATCTGCCTTCTCAGCAGCTTGGTACCTACTGTATTGCTGTAGATCTACGAATCGGTTCAAATTTACACTTACCCCAGAAATGCACTCGATTAGTTTCTGAAAAAGATATTCATCATTTATATTTTTTTAAAGGAAGGAATCAAAAATAAATAATAAACTGATAATAAGAGCATTTCCGTTAGTATGTAATACCATGCGTTCAGGAGCTGAGATGGTACCTGAATATATATTTTTGAATTGCCATGTATATAACAATTTGCAATACTAAACGTTACAGTGTATAGGTATATTTTTCATTTGTAATTTATATTTAAACGAATTTGGTTTCGCGGGTAAACGAGACGAGTGCGCGCATTCGCATTCGTGCGAGAGAGACGCGTCAAGAACGCAAGACGAGCTTGCAGCACATTTTACGTGTGCCTTTAAATTATTTAATATTAAGTGGAAAAAGTGCTAAATATCGTTCCGCGTGTCCTTTTCCATACACATCAACGATAGATCAAAGTGTGGAACAGATGTTCAACAGCCATCGGCGAGTTTAGAAGAATGATTGCAGTTGATTTACTTAACGTTTCCATTTCATGTATGAAAAAGCAGTCATTTTACACGTATTTTATGAAGATTGCAGTGAAAAGGATGTAACATTGGGAAGGAGGCCTTCGTTGTAATTAATCCTGCTTTTGTCGTCGTTATAGATAAGATGAGGTTAGTTTGTTAATATTTTATATGTACTTAAACCGAATTGCGTTTGCGTTTCTCTGAACAAGTTCGTTATATATGTATATCGTTTGCGCCTAAAACTTTGAGGGTGCATTATAGTTGAATTGATCATTAGGATTTTCATTCTTCCAATTTTGTATTGATTTAAGGAAGATTTTGCAGTTACGAAACTTACATGGAGTTGTTTACATTGTTTAAATTGTAACCTATAACGTTTGCATCATAAATAAAGACGCTGCATGACAATATTTATAGATTTAAAGATATAATTTAGGTAACGTATCGATTTTGATTATGCGGGGATATTCAAATTGGCGCTTTATTTGAGCACAACGTTCCCAATTTTTCTTGTCATAAATCTACCCAAATTAAGTTTTGGATATACCAATACCACACTATTTATTTACCATATAATACATAATAGGCAAAGCAAAAAAAGTAAGTTTTCTGCAACCAGCTATACCTAACCTAAGGAACAACTAAAATAAAAAAATCAATATCACTGCCGTAACCAACGTGGAGGTAAGATGTTCAACTCTATACATCGTGAGAAATGAATCAACAGTGGCGTACCGACCGACGTGGGAGTATACATCGTGAAACATCACAAAGTCTATGCGAAAGAATTGATAGAAAGAGACCCAATGCAAAAACCAGATATACTAAGCGATTTCATTTGTCTCATTCTCATCTCGGTCATTCTGCAAGAAGTATAGCTAGAGAAGGAGAATGTCAAACGGTGGTTAAATACTCAGATCTCATGAACCATTTTGATCGCAGTGCTGAATTTAAAGGTATTGCGCGGGAAAAGCACTTGACTTATCAAACTGTCCTCGTACTTCGTTCGACCTGTACTTCGATGACAGGAGGATTTTGCAGGTGAAAGGGATCGAAAAACTGATTAGATTAATAACGCAATGCACCCATAAAATGCTACGTGTCTCAATTATCCGAATTATCTCGCGCTGATAGTTGATACGTCGTACGCTGGCCGGTATATAAGCAACAGACACCGAGGAAAAAGTCCTCCTAAAAAATGTTCTTCAAAGTTCTGGTGTTGTTGTTTTATACTGCGTTGGCGCAAGACAGGTATTAGCTAATGTACAATCTTAATAAGGGAACTATTTTTTTGTCTTTTTTAGTCATGCAAGAAATGTAAAAGTAAATCCGTTTAAGACCTTCTGGAATATGCCAACATTCCAATGCGCTGGTCACAAACTAGGATTTGAAAAACTTGGAGAGAAATACAATATTCTCCAGAATAAAAACGACGTATTTCAGGGCGATCAAATGACCATTCTCTACCACCCAGGGTCGTTTCCCGAAATCAAATCGGATGGAAATTTAACAAATGGTGGCGTCCCTCAAGAAGCAAATCTAACTGAACATCTTCGACTTTTTGAAGCGACTATTAACCGTTCAATTCCCGATGTTCACTTCGCAGGTACGACGTATATTAAAATCTTAAAACCACGCAATCATTTGCTTCAGGCATGGGTATCATAGACTTTGAGCACTGGAGACCGGTCTACGATCAAAATTTCGGCGCACTCAACAAATACCGGCAGCTCTCCGAAAAAATCGAAAAGAAAAGGCATCCGTCATGGTCCACGGCACAAATTAAAGCTGAAGCGAGAAGAAGGTTCGAACTTCATGGCCGGAAGTTCATGGAGAGTTCGATACTTCTAGCGCAAAGGTTGAGGCCAGATGCTACATGGGGTTACTACGGATTTCCACACTGTTTCAATCACCAGATGCAGGACACGTGCGGCGCTCACCTCGAGGCCCAAAACGATAAGTAAGCTTCGATATCGAGAAATTAGTGGCTTACATAGTTATTTTTAAGCACAAACTGGTTATTCTCAGCCAGCGATACACTAAACCCATCGCTATATGTATATGGAGAAGGTAAAGCCACACAAGATCAGTGGAAAGACTGGCTTAAAGGAAGAGTTAAAGAGGCCCAACGAGTTAGAGACGGAGTAAAAGACGAAAAACGGCGCACTGTCGTGCCGTACTACACACTTCTAGATCCAAGCAACAATGAGTTTTTATCAAAGGTAAACACATCTATACATCCATTCTCTGGTATTAAAAAAGAATTTTAGGAAACCATAGTGAATTCCATATCTACCCTTCAGGAGCTCAAAATTGACGGGTGGATCATCTGGGCTTCCAGTTCGCACGTAAACTCAAGGCAGAAATGCGAAGATCTGTACAAGTTCATTGATACCGTTTTAGGGCCAGCTTTGATCAGATAATCTTAGTATGTTTGAGCATTGTAATTAATAAATGTCTTTGACTTTCCTTTTACACTTGTGCTCACTTTAGAGACAACATTGCAACATTGCAACACTTGTGTGCATCCGCACTATCCACCGCACTACCCATAAATGTCCATGAGATACTCGTAATAGCTAACAGACTGCAATTAATATTTAAAAAAATTGCTGTGACTAACACAGATTCCACTCGCGCATCTGCCCAAAAGCGTTTCGTCCTTATATGTCTAAAAATATGCAAACTTTTTTCAGTTTTTGGGACAAAAATCACAAACAGATGCGAGTGAAACGCACCTTTTTTAACAGAGACTAAATTCCCTGCAATTTGAGCCCATCTCAAATTTTTTAGGTCCAATAGTTCCGACGGCTCTCCAAAAATTGACACTTTCTCCAACAAGACTAAAAGGTTGACTCTCTTTAGGAACACCTCAAATATTAGTCGGCTCCCCACTCCGAAGAGGGGACGCGTAAAGGCGAGCTGTCGTGGAAAACATGCCCCGATTCATTCGTGGTGGTTGCTGGAGTTTTCTTACTTCCACAAAGTGCAGTGGCGCCGCAATGATTCAGTGAAAGCTATTGTAACTACTTTCATCAGTCACTACGGGTAAAATGTAACCCTCGTTTTTGACGGTTAACCTGAGGATTATCAAAACGGCTGACCCTTGATATTGATTCTTGGGATACTGTGACATAGTTTTTAATGAATCGCTGTTTTATTTTTTTTTTTTTATTTATTTATTATCCCTCTCTTGTTCTGGGCCCTCAACAGGCATGTGCCCAATTACAGAGTGACCCGCATAATGCTTTTTTTAGAGGTGCCTCTGCAGAAGGTCTTAAGTTGTTCTGTACTACTCCGGTATTTACCTTACGAATTAGGAAAACTGCAGGAAAACCTAATTCGGAGTAGCCGGTAGAATGCTCGGAACTGGTCTAAGGTAATTTCCATCTCTGCCACAGATGAAAAATTCACCTCAACCCAGGTTCGAACACCCGACCTCCGGATTTATACCCCAACGCTCTACCACTGAGCCATAAAGCCGCTGTTGATTCCATTGCCGTAAGAGAAACTTCTGTTTCTAGCCTCCCTTACGAAAGCGTATTCATCGTTGGGGAAGGGACTCAAGGGACAAAAGCGGAAAGGTCAAGACCGTAGCCATATTAACCGCCTCATTTAATCCTGGGGAGGTCTCATATTACACTGGTTTTGAGATGCTCTTCCAAGTATTCACAGAGTGTGATACAACGAAGATACTGCGCGTTTTCGAGCAGGATAACGGCCTCCTTAATGAGACAGACACCTTGAAACAAAACGCTACCCAAAAGAGGTTGCACTTGGAACCAAGAAGGAGACAGTCAGCCAAAAGCTACATAAGCAGCCATATGTTTCCAATATTTCTCGCCCATTTCAATACTTCGATTCAATGTGATCTCTTCTTGCTTCCCGCTTATCAATGTTTTTAGAACCCCTTCTATTTCTTACGTTTTAATCTGTGTTTGTTCTTTTCTCCCTGTGCTCAATTCAGTCGATTATGGTTGGTTCTCGATCCTGTCTAAACTTATCGCTTTAATATTATATCAAAGTATTGCAACTGCGCTTTATGCAGTGTTTATGTAGTATCTTTCATCATATGTGGAAAACTTCGGATAGAACTAACTTAAAAATAAACTAAACAAATATAGAAAACGAGCTCCTGGGTATGACTATAACATGTGCAAAACCCTCGGCAAAACCAAATTTTAAACCCGACGTTAGTTTTGCTTTTATTTAAATTTTAAAGTGTATATGTATGAAATTTCATTTAATTGCTTCCATAAATAAGAAAGTTGGCACTGCACATCCTACACAAAACCAAATTTGGAAAATGGCGCTACATTTGCTTTTATTCCAAGTGGCTGTGTATCAAATTTCATTTAAATGCCTCCATAAATAAGAAAGTTGGCACCGAGGTTGGCACTGCGCATGCGCAAAACCCAATTTTGAAACTGGAGTTATATTTGCTTTTATTCCAAGTGGCTATGTATCAAATTTCATTCTTCATAAATAAGAAAGTTTGCAATTCGGTTTATAAATGGTCGAGATGCGAAAAGGGCACTGTGAAGGTTGATCGATTAGGCTCAATTTTTGGAATTGCGTTTTATATGGCTAAAGCTATACGCATATTGAATTTCATGCAATTCGGTTCATAACTCACGGAGATGTCAAAAGGGCCTTCCTTATTTTTTGGGCTACATTGCCAATTCACGAACTCCGATCTACAAATTTGATAAAGAATCCATTCATTATCGAGATATCGTGATAACGGACAGACGGACAGACACCGCAAATTAGAAAATAAATAAAATAAATAAAATAAATAAAATAAATAAAATAAATAAAATAAATAAAATAAATAAAATAAATAAAATAAATAAAATAAATAAAATAAAATAAAATAAATAAAATAAATAAAATAAATAATAAATAAAATAAATAAAATAAATAAATAATAAAATAAATAAAAATAATAAAATATAAAATAAATAAAATAAATAAAATAAATAAAATAAATAAAATAAATAAAATAAATAAAATAAATAAAATAAATAAAATAAATAAAATAAATAAAATAATTACAATAAATAAAATATTTCTCGTATGTGGTCCTATATATTTATATTTTTTAAGCTGATTGTGGGTATTAATGCGTATAAATTGCACGCAATTGATTACCATGTTGCTTATTCTTTTATTCACAATGACAATGGTTTACCTCGCTTGTTCTAAATATCGGAAGCTATAAACGTTTTTCAGTTTTTGGATCCTTCGAATCCGATTCATCAGTTTCTTCAGGTTATTAACGAGCTCCTAGCGAGTTTAAAATTTTGCGATGTCCGTCTGTCCGTCCGTTAGCACGATATCTCGATAACGAATGGACCAATTACGATAACATTTAGTAGATGGATTCTTTATCAAATTTGTAGATCGGAGTTCGTGAATTGGCAATGTAGCTCAAAAAATAAGGAAGGCCCTTTTGACATCTCCGTGAGTTATGAACCGAATTGCATGAAATTCAATACGTATAGCTTTAGCCATATAAAACGCAATTCCAAAAATTGAGCCTAATCGATCAACATTCACAGTGCCCTTTTCGCATCTTGACCATTTATAAACCGAATTGCCAACTTTCTTATTTATGGAAGCAATTAAATGAAATTTCATACATATACACTTTAATTTTTAAATAAAAGCAAAACTAACATCAGGTTTAAAATTTGGTTTTTGCACATGCTCTAGCCATACCCAGGAGCTCGTTTTCTATGTTTTTTTAGTTTATTTAAATTTTTATATACTTTCCGAATTGTTCACTTTCAGATTGGGTGTATTTTGCAATTTTTCAATTAGATTTTATAGGTTCTTTGGATTTTGCCAATTCATACGATTCTTCAGTTTCTTCGACTTTTTAGATTTTCTTATTCTACGGACTATTTGAATTATTTAGATAAACCCTCTCTGGAATTTATCGAGCATCGGGTATTCGTTTTCTTTGAGTTCCTTCAATTCATCTTCTCCTTGGGTTCTTCGAATATTTAGCATTCGCCAAACCTACCAAAATTCCAGATGTATCAGATTCTACAGCTCGATCGAGTTTTTCTGATGGATCCGTTTTTTCAGATCGTTTTGATTCATCGGAATCGTGTGATTCTTTGGTCTCTTCAGTAAATGACTATCGCTGATTATGAAAAAGTATAATGCCCATGCCTGGTGCCACTGATGCCAACGGTGTTTGGGGTTCATATACGACTAACAACTAGTTTGACAACACTACGAAAAATAATACGCACAAGTTATTGTAGATGCAATGTAAGAGAAAACGGAAAATTTAGGCTCAGTCTATTGCACTTCCACTAGCAACGTCTTATGAAGATATCTTACCAAAACCACGATCGCGCGAATGTATCTCAAAACGCTGGACAAACCGAAATAGACACGAACAAATCAATTGTAGTAGGTACTGTCCGTACTGTCTAAAAGTTTGACGAGTACGTGGATTTTCCAAAAAAATTAGTGTGCTGATCATGACATAATCGGCGTCGTTTTCCATGTTCAAAATTTGTGTTTTTTTGGGGTCGTGTACTTATATGTGTTGTATAGAAGTATTTCCTTGTGTTTTATCGCTGCCGTGTATTGTCTCTCGACCACAATCGTTACATTTTTTCCAAACGCTGGATACATTTTTGGCAGATAATTTTCACGTTGTTTTAGTGCCGGTTTTTTAATGTGACCGTTAATTCTATCTAACGATTAACTTCCCTTCACTTAAATGTATGCACATAGGAGGTTAGGATTAAGTAAGTTTTTGTGTGTCGATGCAGTTTTCATTGAAAAACCTGCTTGACATGTAGAATAAACTGATACAAATTATAAAGGAACCCTGAAAGATTCTCAGTATTATCATGGATGCGTGAAGATCTCGAGGATCGTTCGGTATTCAGTTGTATCGGATTATTTGAATTGGTCCTAGACTACAATTTGCCGTTCCCGATTTACATGAAGTTCGTGTTGACCGAGCTGCATGTAACAGAAACAGTTGAGTGAATATTTAATTACTCAATGATGTAACTCAATATTGGTCTACTTCAAATTTCAACACGATCGGTCGCTTTTAAAAAGGGTTATGCGCGCACGGACGGACGGACAGTTATAACAGTACAAAACTATCACGGATCTGAGAATCCAAATCGATCTAGTGAAGTATGGAAATACCCAATAAATGACTGAACATTCATGATTTTTGACCTACTCCTAAACTCAGCAGGACCTTCAATGGATCACGGATAGACGGACAGACAGACGGGCAAACGTGCATTGCTAATATCTTTTTCGATTCATCTTTGGCTTCGGTCACAGCCGTTGCTGGATTTATTTGAACGACCAAAAACTCCATTTAGAAGTAATGACGTCATACGGCTCATAAGATTGAAGAAAAAACGTAGAATAGAATAGAAATCACGAGGCAAAGTTGTAAAAGAAACTAGCGCTTGACTTGCTGT